ATATATATGTATATATGTTGGGTAGTATGCCTATTGGGTTAAATATACACATTTTCTTAAAGATTTCATCAGGAAGGTTGCTATGACGACGGGTGTTTTATTGGATCCAACATACACGGGGAAAGCAGCGAGCGGGATGTCACATGATCTTACATATGACCGATCAAAATTTCAAGGCAATAGAATTCTTTTTATTCACACAGGTTAGTTTACATTTCTCTCAAATAATACATGATATTATTAAACAAACGTCCTTTATCATTAAAATTATTATATTTATTAATAAAACATTAACACAAATAACAATAATTATATTAGTAAAAAAATTTAATAGTGTTAAGTACGATAATAACGATATAATAATGCAATAACAATAAAATAATAATAATAATAATAATAATAATAATAATAGGCCCTAATGATAATAATAATGAAAATAATAATATATTATTATTAATAAATTAATAAATAGTAATAATAATGATAATAAAAGTAATGATGATGATGATGTTAATGATGATGATGATGTTAATGGTGATGATGATGATGACGTTAATGATGATGATGTTAATGATGATGATGATGATGAGTGATTTAATATTACTGCACAACATGTATGTATTATAAAAACCATAAATATTCTTATTCATTTGCTGCTGGAATAGAACCTTGATTATTACAGCAGCTTCCAACTATAAAAATAATATTTAGCATAATTAAAAACCAAAATATATCACGTATCAATCATTTTAGGTCAGGACGCCTACATCGCTGCCCAATGACCGTGGCAAAGGCCGCGGGCAGAAATTCAATATCCTCCATTAAATTAAAGTATAATTCCATAATCAATCATACACTTAAGAGCAAATTACTTAAACAAATATTACAATTCCTGTACTTTAACGCTAATATAGATTATAGGCCTAACTTTGATAGGCATTAATCTATGTATCTAAGTTACATATTTATGAGATTGGATTTATGATAGGCCTAAATTATAACATCGACAGACCGTGCAATTTAAAAGTACGTGTCCTTGCGTGAGTCTGCGTGTGTTTACAAATCTTGTAAGCCTAGCGCAAATGGGTTTTTTGCGCTCGCAGCTTTTTACGAAGAATTTTGAAGCAACGAAAGGAGCATGTTGTATAATCTGAAGGATTCAGACGTAGCGCCATAGTAGGCCTATCACATATCATTTTTATGGTTTATTTTATTTGCTATCATGAGCAACTCGGCCGGGTAATTAAGATTTGCGTATCAAATTGTATTCGATTACAACCTATGAAACACTAGCCTACACTGCTCCCTAGTATACGAACTTCTAAACATATAGGCCTAAAAAGACACTGAAATTGCCTTAATGTTAGTTTTAACTAAGGTATGATTAACTGCAAACAATGGGCTTATGTCTTAAGTTCTTTAGTCTTTTTAATCCCGAAACACCATCAACCTTTATACATAAAGGCCAACAAAAATTAATTTATCTTGCAGGTAATATTGTTTGTAATAAGCTGAAATCTAACTCATACATGTTCAACTCATGTAAGCCTATATAAATGTATATATTCATTTAAATTGACATATATGATAGTATTAATATTTATAGTTGTGTGAAATGTAGCCTATATTTGTGTTCTGATATGAGTGATTGTGCCCGTTACAATTTTTCGTGTGGACAAACACATTCTGAATCTGATATAGGCATATACTGCCACTTACATCTAAATAAAAAAAAATAATAATAACTTGTAGCTTAATTTATATTTAAATTTATATCTACATAATAATTTCTAGACAAAAGGCCATGGATATGCCGATAGCGAACTTAATCTCTTACTAAGTGGCAATCATTTCACAAGACAACCCTTATGGACAAGATGCTCTGCATAAGCTAAGTCTAATTATGAGGTTAAAGGTAGATGCACTAAAAATGTTCTACGAACCGAATTCGGTGTGAATCTACCATTAGGGAGTTGTCTTTGGTGGTTTTTTTCATATGACAAATTTGCAAAAGTTACCATCTGGCAAAAGTATTGCAGATAACTGAAATTATCCAGAGTTTTCGTCCATTGGACTCTCTAGCTAAGTGGTTAATTTGTAACTGCTAACATTAAAATATATAATACTGAAACGTCTTATAGCTTAGTTGCTATAGCACATGCAACCGTGGATTGTCGATAGAGAGATGTTGGGTTAGGTGAGCCCACGCCATCATAATTATTATTCTTCTTCTAGACTTTCGTGAGCTACCCTTGGTGTTATACCGAATAAATCTATTTGTGCGTTTAGTAATTCATTATTATTAGGCCTAATACGTTTTATCATCATAATAAATTTATGATTCTATACCAAATTTAATTAATATTTATATGGTAATCATATAAATATTTCGTGAATATTTCGTGCGGTTCCCTTGGTTTTTTCTGACGAGCATTTTTCATGAACGTAGATAGGCCTAGTTGAATCTTGCAGCTAACTATCCTTGATAAACATATGGGAATGCAATAAAATATTGCAAACGCTACGCATCCGAAGCAATCTACGATTTTATTTCAACAAATCTCAAATACAAAATGTCAAAACTTTATGAGCAAAATGTAAACCCGAATGAATGAAAGAGAACAATGCATTGGTACTCGATTGGATTTATGTCTTATTCAATGCATACGCACTGCGTCAGCGTCAATACAGTCGACGTGTTTAAATGACCGCGAAGCATCGCGCGACGGATCGTTTTCAATGACGATCCACCACCGATGGAAATCGGGCAAGTGCACACGCAGGGTATGGACAGAATGTGACGCAATGTGAGCCAGGTTTAACTATTATTTTGGTCATTTGTTGTTTACAATTTATTGCTTTCCAAAGACACACAAAACATCAAAATATTATTATTATTATTAATATTAATAATAATATTATTATTATTAATGATAATAATAATAATAATAATAACAATTACAACAACAATAACAACAATAGTCTTAACTACAAAGCACAAACAACAAAGAAAGAAAAATTTAAAATGGAAAGCAGAGGATAGCTCTAAGCCAGAGGCTTGTTTCGAAAGAGATCTCCAACAAAAGCAAAAGGATCAAGACCAATAAAAGACGCCAAAGGCAGGGGGGGGGGAGGGCTGCCCTGCCTCCCCCACCTTTTTTTGGGAGGTAAAAAGAAAGAAAAAGAAAAAATGATAGCCCAGAACGCCTCAAATGTTATTTTCGGGCGTCTAGAACACAAAGCTTTTGCGGGGGCATGCCCACGGAAACCTAGGACAGTTTTATCTCGATCGGCCCAAATTAGCCTACGGTCCCCCCTTTCGGACCCCCCTTTTGGACATCTCTGAATCTGCCCCTGAAAGGATTAAGAAAATTTGTTTAAAAAACATCAAGAATAAAAAAAAAAAAAAAAAAAAATAAATAAAAGTTAAATAACCTTAACAAATCCCCTCCTCAAAGTTACTCATAATTAAGCAGGCATGGGCGAGTAAGTTTTCGATTCCCAGATTGAAACTTGGCACTTTGGTGTTCCCTTTTATAGCATTTGCCAAATTATAAATAAAATAGCATTATAAAAGAAGGATTGATCGTAATTTGAATTGTTAGAAGGTACAACAAAGGTGTTACTCTTGGTATTATAAGAATGCAAAATCTTTAAATAGCACTTTTATCGTAAAAAGTTAAACTAAACACTTGCTGCATATTTTTCTTATCACGTTTTTTTTTTAGGTGGAATATTCGGATTATACGACGGGCGTATGACCAACATACTAAGCGAATCGAGAGACGATCAATCACAAATGAAAGTGTGGATGGATCTAGCAGACGACCCAATTCCGGTGCCAGCTGACAAGAGGAATACGAATGGCCACCAATATCAACCAAATCCCATCACACTCAACCATCACTTCAATGAGGACATGCATATTAGTCTGACATGAAACCAGTTGAAAGGATGTCATTATGAAAAGATTAATTAGGATATGATGATAGTAATATAAAATTATACAATGTTACAGACGTACTTTTTTTAACATTGGTGGTTTAATATTTTAGAATTAGAAATGCAATTTTGGGACAGAAAACAGTAAATCTATACCAGTGGTTTATATGTATATTTTAAGTACGGTACATTTTATATAATTTAGTACTATGGAGAGTTTATGATGACGTTTTTAGCTATCGGTGCCCATCAATCTCGTGTCTAACACATTATATTTGTCAGTTTTCCGAATAGGCGTATCGTTATGTAGAACATTAGGAGTTATGGTTAAACCTAGGGCCTACTTGATAAAATGGCCGCCTGAGGGGCAGCGCCTTTCTAAGGAAGAATAGCGAGGTTTCTAACAAATCAACGAAAATTATTAAAAACCTCATCATTTCGCAGGTCACGCAACTCTATTAAATTATAATAATTAATGCGAAGTATGCTTCTCGACTTTCAATTTTTAAAGTGGATACATTCGGGAAATTTCCACTTAGAATACAAAATTAGGAAAAAATATGAGTAACCTTGATAAACTTTTACTGAATTATTTAAAAACAATTATCTTCATGAATTATTGATACTATTATAAGCCTACATGAATTAATTTGCATAATTCGAGGCTCGGTAAATTGTGTAAGGTAAGTGTATAGTGGAACGGGTAAAGTGGTAATTAAATCGATTTAGCAACGTTTAACTTAATTTATGCATGTGCCTAAAAACAGTATTATAACTTATAAAAACGTCATAACCTTTTAAGAATCGAAGTCGCAAAAGATAATATTATGCGGCAGAAATTCATACACATGAATTCACAAACAACAATTAATTAACACCATATAAAACAAATTACGGAGTGTATACCATTTTGATGGAAATATACGAAAGTAAAAACATATTATAGGGAATTTTATGCAATTATAATTATAAAATAAAAGAGCCTATATGACTATAAGATATAATGAGTGCAATAAAGGTCTACACAAATGCTATATAAATCCGCTATCTGAAGCTTACTAATAATGCATAGGCCCTATCAGCAAGAAGTGAGTTGAGTACCATTCTGTGCGCAGTAGTAACAAATCATAAATATGAAGGTAACTTATGGCAATATTTTGTGATTTTTTTTTTTTTGCTCAATCTCGTGATTGTAAAGACTCTAGAGATTCTTGATGGAAGCACTGCGACTTAACTATGACACCTGACTGAAATCTGTCAAATCTTAGCAAATGTGGTTTCCTGAACATTTTCCGGCACTTAAAACTCGAGTCCATATTCATTGGTATTTCACGTCGCAAAATAAGTGGCTTTAATAAATTTTACAATGCTATAAAGCAAGTAAATAACCATAAAATAATTAATGTAACTCATAAAAATACATCAAATTTCTATAACATTTTTTTTTAAATGAAATAACTTAATTAGAACAAAAATGTGCATACTGGATGTGCATATTGGAAAGGCCTATGTGTATGACTAGCGGGTTAAGTATCATAACAATAATATGTATATCTTCCATAACCATACTCTTTTCTACTTGTGTTTTATATTAAAAAAAGGTTAACTTTTAGTATAGGGCTGCTTGTAGAACTAATATGGTCTTCTTTTCTTCCGGTAATTTGCATTGCCTACATATTTTACGCGTGCGGACAGACGACTAGCGGTAACCTGATTCCAAAATTTGGCGTAAGAAAAAAAAATCAACTGTTGCATATTAATAAGTAAGTTTTAATGAGACGAAAAGCAGTCTGCGACGCTTTGACATCATTTTAAGGCACGTACACATGCGTAGCGTAATCAATTCATAATTTTTGGATCTCGGCGAGTACATTGATTTAGTATAATTATGAATTTTTTTTTTTATACAACGGGAATATTTATTTATACTTAATACAATACTGGTATAAGCCCTTAACATTGCTGATATTTTAGTGTTCCTTTTCATAGTCTAACACATGATTTTATTTTATTGCTGGTTTGCAAATAAAAATCCGATAGAGTGAATAAGTCGAATGCAATAATATACTAGTAATATTCTTAATAAAATATTATAATAGTAACTATTTATATTATTAATGTGTATTTTAGCTTTACTAAGCCTGAAGTAGGGTAGACATAAAGAATGAAATAGTGCGTGCTGTCTGCGAACACATACATTCGGTAGTCTATTTTAGTTCAATTTGAATTAAATTTGTTCTCAATTAATGATTTTTGTGTTTTTGTGTTTTTGTTCCCCACCCCGGGGAGAAAAACTGCAACTCATTGAGGAGAAATAAAATGTATAGGGCCTATGTATTTTCTACAAATTAGTAGACTCTAGAATCGATTAAATAAGCCTTTGAAACCCTTATTGTCATATTTTTCGGGGGCTTCGCCCCTTGGAACATGCAATAATATTTTGAAAGCGTTGCAGCAGGATAATTTGATGTTGTGTAAAACCACATAAACAAGGAATTGTCGAACTCGAGGAAACAATGGCACGAACCCAGAAATTAAGTGCCAGCTCTATTCAGATGCTTTCGAAAAATGATCAATGAAATGTTACGATAGGCCTAATATACAAATAGATTTTGCTGTTTGAGATTATCCTAATAGCGAGTGCCAAAAACAGATTCAAAACAATTACCTCAGACAAGAAATTATATTTACATCATCCCCCACTTGAAAATGGGGAAGGAACAATTTGGCACGTTGCTGGTTGGAGCCTACGATGATAAAATACGACACTACGTGACACTATATTGTGATTTGTCGATATATGCGAGCCGAATGTCCGAGCGGTGAAAGCAGGGAAGCAGAAACTTACCGCCATGTTATCGCCATAAGGCCCTATTCGATTTTCAAAGAAACGAACAGAGACACTGCTGAAGACGCCGGCCGGACATAATTATATATCAGTATATTATGCATAACGGAGGACAGGTATACCATGGAGGAAATTTCCTCCATGGGTATACTGGGAGCAGATATTTATGTAAATTTCCGTTATCCACGGCACATGAGCAGAATAAAGAACACTTGTGTGATACCGCTGAACCGAAGCCGGTCTTCCCTTTGCGACATCTGAATTGAAAACGAGTGCAAATGCTCTAAAAAACAATAATGTTTGAATAAAAAGTCAAGTAGGTCTGTGATGGTGCGAGGCAATAGCCACACCTGCGAACGAGGACGTTTTGTGTAGCGGTTTGCGATTATTGTGCAAAATATTAATGGCTTGTTTCAGTTGCCAAACGAATAATTTATTCCGCCACTGAGTCAATGAGAACTTCGAAAGATTTAGGTCTTTAGGCAGATTGATCTTCGGAATATAAAAACAGGATAAACGAGATAAAACGAAACAAACTGAAAAGGTTCTCGGAGAAGTCATTTATTAGCTTACGTTTCAGTTGTGTAAAAGTAAAGGCAACAGATCAGATGATAGACCTGTCCCGATTACTTTTAGTACAAGGCGACGCCTTTAGTTTCATAATGGAGAAAATATATATTTCCTCCATGTTTCCGGTACGTTCTTTAGCGACTGAAACATGGTTTCCATAACCGTACGCCTTAAAATGAATGCAACATTCCAATGGCATTAAACTACAATGCACCCTCCAATTCGAGACTCCTCTGATTCCAAGACCCCCTCGAGATCACTTTTTCGAAGACCCAAATGACAATCTTCAACCTTTTAACACAAAGCTAGCCCTTAATTGGAGACCAACCCCGAGACCACCCCTAAATTTTCAGGTCCCAAGATGGTCTCGAATTGGAGGGCGAACTGTGTTAGAGTTGGTCTGTTTACCTACGAGCATTTAAGTCTCCGAGAATTACAATACGAAAACAGTCACTTCTCACTTTGTCATCTCCACTCCAAAAGATCCTGTAATTCCGTTCCTTAACTGCACCTGGGCGTGGTACTTCGCTTGGTGCATAAATAGGCCCTCAGAAAACTAGCAGGAAACAGTCGGAACGACACATTTTGTCGCTGTTTGCTAGTGTTCTTATAGATAAAAGCAACATCGATATTTATGCACCAAGTAGGTGCCTACTTTTTACTAGACCTAATTGTATTGGACGAAATAATGGTTCTCTTCAAGGCAATGTATAATTCCATACATACTATTGTTCCCTGTTCATGTATTACCGTATCTAATAATGTATCACGTGAAACTTCTATGATTTACATCATAAAGTTTGAAAGTAATTTATTTTCTTGGTATTTCTTCATTCTTTTGAATGCAAAATAAATGTATAAAGTTGTTAATGTCTGTTAACTTGTGTGATCAGTGGCGGATCCAGGAATTCGAAATAAAAGAGCACATGAAGGGGCTTTCACAGATGGAGGGTAAAGCACAGCAGCCCTACCATGTCGGGGCTGAGGGGGAAAATTGTTATTATGGCACCTCTAAATGGCCGGAGATGATGCCACTCTCAGGCATAAATGCGAGTATAATTCACGTTTTTCTCAATTTATTTGATACCTTTTTTTTTGGGGGGGGGGGGGGGGGGGGGTTTAGGTAGCTGGGCCCGCTTGAATCCGCCCTTGATTATATTTTTGTTTTTAGCGTACACAATGAAATAATGAATGAAGAAACAAATGAATTAATGTATGTATATATGAATGAATGAATGAATGAATAAATGAATGAAATATTGCATAATTGCGGAATTTTCCAAATTTTACGTATGTGATTAACTTGTTGGTGGCGGGCTTCTCATCTGCTTCAAAAGTCACGGGACGTTGATAGTTTAACGATTATGATTTCTTTGTTGGTTTTCATTTGAATTCAGAATCAGTAATGGAACAATAAATCACACGAAAGTGTATACTCTCCAATTAGTAATTCAAATCTGAGAGCAATTTATCAAATATTTAAAACTACGAAGGAAGGTCAAAAGCAAACCGTTTTTTAATATCAAATTTTCTTTGGCTACATATTTAATTAATCTCTGGTTTCATCAGCATTTGGTATAGAAAGAGAATAATAAAAAACAATACCTTGTTAAAAAATAATACTAAATAGGAAATCCTAAAGATATACGATTGCATAATTATATAATTTGCATACCAATTGAACTATTCCATTATCAGAAACAAAATCAATGTATAATGATGAATATTCATTAATGACTAATTAATATTGCATTTTAAGGTGAAGCGTAGGGCTGGAATGAATTAACTATGTACAGGTTTACATATCCCATAAAGAATAAATACATTGTTATCGCAAAATGCTTCATATTAAATGAACAACTACATTAAGCATAATACTGAAAAAACTTAAATTAAATATTACATATAGTCCATGTGAATAATAATATTAATTATGATTAATACAATATAAAATAAAATATAATTTTTTTAAATAATAGCATAGGTAAATAATGTACTTATATAATGCATAATAGGCCTACCAAGGAACATGTTTCAGCTATACTACTTGAAGTTTACAGTAGTAATGTCAATTAATAATACATAAAACTCAATAACAATAGACAACAATTATAAAAGTAATATAAACAAATTAAATGAGGGAGCCAAATTAATGATAGGGAGCCAAGTATGGGGTCAAGATCTGCCCCTAGTGATGGGAAGCACGAACAAGGCCTTACAAGTTGGCCTCTGAAGGTAGGTTGCATCGGTCCTTGCTACTGGGCTGTAGCGGGGGGGGGGGGGGGGTTTTTTTTGGTTTACTTGGCCTTGGTAGATACTTAAATAAACACTTGTCTACCATACATATTCAATGTTTTATTTAACTTTTTAGCTTCACTTACTTTTGAAGTTGTTAATTTGTATATTGTTGTTGATGTTGTTGTCATCATTGTTGTATACATAAATAAAGATAGGTAGTATCTCTTATTTATACAGACAAATAATTTTACACAGACTATCATTTGCAAAGTATTCTTCAAATTCCTAAGACAAACCAAACAACTAGAATTCATAAAATAGTGTTACAATTAACAGAATGAACAATATCGCAGGACCTACTGAGTCTTACAGACTCAAATCAATTTCTGTCATGAAGCTCTAAAATAAATAATACAAAACATTATTTGCTAGAATGACACTAAAATAAGAATTGACCTACATAAACCATATGCTGATATTTTTACAATATCATAAAAAATCTGTCAAATTGGGGCCTTAAATGAATTAGTAATCTAAGTACAGTACAGATAATCTTGAAAATGTCAAAGTAATAGTCATATGCCAGTTTGCATACTCATATTTTTTTTCAATTTTTTAAGGCACTTTGAAATTTATGTTTCTGTTTATATTCCGTTTTATTTAAGTGGCTTTTAAGCAAACATTAAAAACTATTATATCTTTAAAAAAAACAAAAAAACAGTTGCATATCAATCAGTATAAAAGTTTCTGGTTGCTTCCTGCATGTTTTTGATTGTCTTACTCTACTTAACACTTATTTTCAGAATTCACAATTTCAATTTTTATCAAACAATTTCTAATCATTTGAGATGTTGCTTGTTTTCTCCTCATTAAGGTAATTACTGATTATAAAAAAAATGTTTTACACAAATATCAATATTTCATGCGAAACATTCACTTTTCAAGATCACATACACCACATTATTTGTTCATTTTTGTTGGATCACGTACACACATTAAAAAGTAATAAAATTACAAGTGATATATTTAATTATGCATGAACACTAACTTCAACAGGAATTTGAATTCTATATTTGTAAGTAATTATCCTATCAGATAAAGGCCAATGAGAATGCAACAATGATAACAAATATTTCAAACTGACTCACCATAATTAATTTTATAGTAATTGATTAGTAATCAACCATATTATTCAACAACAAATATTAATTATCAACAAAAACCATTAACATATAAAATCACACACAACCAATCATATTAGTATTAAGACATAAAACTCATTTTTAAAAATCTTTGTTTTATTAAAACCATAACATGACAAAAATGTACAACACCAATGGAAAATCTAAAAGCATATTTGGTATAACAATTCTCAATCTAGTCCAAAATTGAAAAATGTATAAAATTTGAGTATGAAAATAAATACCAATATCTTATTGGAAGACATATCAGTAGTATTAAGATAACAAAAATAGCTTATTTTGTGTTAATGATCACTAAGTTTATAGGCAATTTAAGTAAAAAAAAAACTGTCAGCTGAAGGCCACACATGTAAGACAAGATGCAGTATTCTTCATCATGATGCTGTGTATTTCCCAAACACCTTGAGAAAAATCTACTAAATATTAGGGGAACTATTTTTCCAAGCGTATGCATACTGTGACTGTTTTTATGCTATAATTTGGTTCCTGAAAACGATCGTGTGCAGCGTTTGTTAAGACTGAGCGATAGTGTTGCGAGAATGCACAGAGTTCTCGTAAAAATGACCAAATTGACTCCTTGTAACCATGGCCTCCTTCTTTAAATTTTAAACTACCGTGAGATAAAACACAACTGTGACAGCTCTGGTGAATAATAATAATTCAATATATGGCTTAACATGTTACAGGTGCTGAAACACTTCACAAGTTTTGTTGGATTTCTACTTTCTGTAAGACACAGCAATTTGCTCATATAAATTCTTATATTTGTATCTGTATTGGTTAATATACTGTACTTGCTTCCAACTCAAATATGTCCACAATCCTGTGTTGCCAGACACTTATTTGTTCTTCCATAATATAAAATTAACTTCCTGAGCCTCAAAAAAAGAGACTAATAGAGCATCATTCTACCCTGTATTTCTTTCACAAATCCACATCAAATGATAATAAATTATTAATTATTCTTTTTTGACTCAGAATAAAATTAAAATCAAATTGTTAGCAATGTGTTGTCAATCAAAACGAACTCTTGGTGGCGCAAACTGTTTACCTCCCACAAGCAACTTCACGATATTCAAAACATTTCCTGCAAATTAATAATGCATTATTGTCTTCCGAAGTCAACTGGCCTTGAGTATCAATATGTAAAGCAAAGGTCAATCAATTGTTTAAGAATGCTCATTAAACCAGATCTTCTGGAATTTATGACCCCAGTGGCAGCTCTAGGATATATTTTCTGGGGGGGGGGGGCTAAGTGGGCTAAGTTGTTC